TACATATATATACATATATATATATAACTGTCACAAAACATGTTCGTCTCACATTGGGATCCAGGGATCAATATTTGCTATGAATACCTACGTAATGGCAATTTCTCACAAGCTTTCTGTAATGCAAAATAAACAAACTAAATGAAACTGGTAATGTGTTTCATGTCATACCTGTGGCAACCTGAACAAGCAAATAAAGCAATTAGCAGCTTTATGGAGTGTTTATTAAAAATGCCTTTAACTTGCCAGTTTATAAGTATTGAACCTACAGTTAAAACTGTGAAACCGTGAAGTGGAAGCGGTGCCTTTAACGTTATACAACACATATGTTGCCACTGGTCTTCAGAGCTGTTAATATGTGTGTGCGGTTTGGGATTGGGGTTGTTATATATACTGTAGTCTAGTTCTAGTTTAAACATGGTGAACATCAACAAATATGGATTGCAAGAGGACTCAATTCTAGTAAAATAAGAACATTAAATAGTACATAAGGTCTTTACATATTGACCTATCCGATGGATGTACAACTATTCATTTATTTATACCAACTTGGCACCCGAAACCTGGAACTAAGTAATGAAAAGACTTTAGCATTAATTGCATGGCATTTTTGCTTAAAAAAATTACTTACTGATGTTTAGTTTGTATTGATCTCAAGTTGCACAAGTCCTCATGAAGCATTTAAGACACTGTTGGTTTTCATATGGAATCAACTAAGTAATGAATGAATGGTGACCCAGTACTTTGCACAAGTAAGGCTAAGTGCTCATTCAGGATAATATATGACACATTACGGAAATAGTTTTCCTCTCATCAGGAATACACTGCTACACATCTTGTACTACAAATGTACATGATGGCACAAATCTTGTGGTATTAAAAACTGATGTTTAGGCGATGAGAATAAAAGCCTTATGTTGAGAGCCAGCTTGGAAATAAATAGCAACCATGGCACACAACACACATTAGACTATATTTATGAATTTGACCAAACTTTGCTAATCCTGTTAGAGCAATACATGCTTGTGGACTGGCACCAAATACATATAAAATTAATATTAGTCCTACAGGATTGATCAGGCACAGACAGCCCATGAACACATAACCCCTTTTTCCAATTCATATCATTACTTGAAAACTTTCTGCTTTGTATGCTAATGGGTTAGTGTGGGTTATAGTGGAATTCTAAAAAGAGAAATATGGGGGCTGCCACTGCTGAACACCTGAAAATGCTAGCTTGTGTGGCTGTCATGCTAAATTTTAGTCTCCAAGTCTCCAAGAAATTCAGAGTCACTGACCTAAAATCAGACCAGAGGTTCTGACTTCATTTTCTGCAAGGCTTGGCCTGACAGTGAGGTATCTAGTATTTTCAGACACAGATAACCAATGCCAGCTGCTTTATTTCTCTCATGGTGGGTAGCAAAAGCATGGTGATGCTCTCTGCTAACCCAAAAAGTATGCAGGAAGTAAAGCAGTTGTCAGGTCTTGCAAAACTGCAGTGCTCTTAACTGTATGAGATAGTGATATGGTACTGTAGGGGTTGGATGGATCACATGAGAAGGTGTACTTTATTACAAAACATTTGGCAAGGAAAACAGCTTCTACATATGTGTTTCAGTTGCAGATTTAGTATACATTGAGTATATGTTTAACAAAACCATCACAACCTTCTCACCTGGACATTTTATTTTATGAAACATTCCCTTTAAATGGACACTGGAGTTCACAGCAGTAAATACTTACAAGTTATACAGCATGTCAGCCATATTGCTACGGTAGTACAAGGCATTCCTATAAGCTGTTTCTGCATCAGAAATCTTGCCCTGGTTTTTCAATACATTCCCAAGGTTTCCCCAAGCTGTCAAAAAAAAAGAAAAAAGAAAAATAAGAAAAACACTTATATAAATACTTCTAGAAATGTCCCTTTAAAAAGGAATAATACACACTAGACCAGTAATTTGATGGTTTCATATGACCTGACAATCTAAAAGACAAGTGTCACTTTTTGAACAATTTCCAAATATATTGTTTTCACCTCAGCACTAGTATACAAAAAAAACCTGTTCAATTCTGACAACGTCATACTTATTACTATCTGGCACTGACAGTTGGTGCTGTAAGCTTTCATTCTAGAGCTTGTTCTGTATCAGCTCTCCTACTGTCAAGCAATAATGCTATGTTACAAAGATCAACTAATAATGACAAATGTTCCTGCACAAGTAATTACTTTAGCACAGGAAGTGTCTGCTGAATCATGAAGACTTCTGCTGGAATCAGAAGGAACACAAAAATCTCAACAAATAAAATAGCCTTCTCTGCAGGGCAGTACAATCGAGGTGCGGCAACGAGACTAGTCAGAAATGGCTCCTAGCTAAAACAAAATAACGAGGTGAACAAATTAAGTTGGAGCTGTTGAGCAAATATATGATGTTCCATGTTGAAACATGAATATCTTTAGCTGTGCCATAAAATACCAAACACCACACGTTTAAAAAAAAAACCCTCTAAATTAATTTTCTTCATATAGGTTTGACAGAGTATAATCAATACAAAAATAATTCTCTCTAATTCAACAAATTACCTCAAGACAAAATATTTCATGACTTCAGGGCTGGATTCACTCTTTTGCAATGGATTAAGTTCTGCTAAGGCAGCCCATTCATTTAAATGGCCTGCCTAAGGCACCAAGAAAAGGACATGCACTATTTTTAGTGATGCATTGCACCACAATGTACGGTGCAGAACCATGCTTTGTGGTGTGCTGCAACACAGGTGTGTTGGGATACCATTAAGAATGAATGGCACGCTAGCGGACCAACATGTGTTTTTATAAGGCATAGTAATGTGTGTGGCAGTTAGAAACTGAACAGTGTAAACTAAGCCTTAAAGGGTTTCTAAACCCTCAGCTTTTTTTGCATATATCTACTGCTAGCGAGCAGTAGATATATGCAAAAAGTAAAAAAGAAAACGCTCTAACAGCGGACAGTCGTCCCCTTGTGCTCCCGTCCTAAAATGTGAAAATTCTCGGGCGCCCGCAAAGCATCTTGGGGCGGGCGCATGCACAGTTCACATTTTCGGCCGGGGCGCGAGGAGAGACACAAGGTAAGTCTACGGACGCGTGCACCCGCATGCAGACACCGTGGGACAGGAAGTGCCAGCAAGCTCAGAGGAGTCAGCGCTGGATCGGAGACTCGGCCCAGGTTATGGCCTGGATGGGAAGGGGGTTTAACACCGCGGATGTCAACTGGTTAATTAACGTTGGGGTGAGGGAAAAACAATTTGCCTTTAATGTCACTTTAAGATGGCCATACATTATGTGAAATTCGCAGACTGGGTGCCGCTGTCAGCACCCTTTTGGCCGTCATCCCTTGATCAGCAGATCGAAGGAACCAGTTTAAAAAACTTTGAACGAATAGAGCCAGAAGCCAATCACCCATTGTGCCAGAATACAATGAAGATGGTGGGAGATTCCTCGATCAGCGCTCATAAGTGTTGAAGGAGGATATTTTTGTTGTTTAGCCCACAGAAACAAAAGTCAATTTCAGGTACTTACAATAATTACATGTAAAACACATTTGAGTTTTTAATGAACACATGACAGCAATGTTTTTTTTTAAATTTATTTAGCTGAGAAAAAAAAAAAATTATGGAGGTGCAGTTTTGGGACCTAGACTGCTAGCCAAACGCACCGATTTTTCTAAACTAATATAGGAATAGTTTTTAAGCATTTAAAAAAAAATATATTCTTTAATAACCATTCACAAACATACCTTGAAATTAGGTCTGCCTAATGAAAACTGATTTAATAACAGTTTCTATGGGCACTGCACAGCACGCTTTCATGTACATGTACATAAGGATACATTAGGAACAAAACAGAGGCCTCTCTACATACCTTAATATAGGAAAACCCTGTCCAAGGTATTTGAATATATTTCACAGTTCTTAATTGATGTATTTAAGAAGAATGTATAGTGCAATAATTGCCCAAAAGCTTGCTGAATACATACAGAATCTGAATGGCTATTATTATGGTTATATTTATTGAATAGTGCAATCATAGGTGTGTTAACTAGAGGCTTACTGCACTAGGCACCAAACTGAAGAAAGAAAAAAATTCGACCCCCAAAAATCCATTTTGACGAGCACACGCAAAACTGCAAGCGCAATTTGTTTGTGTGTCCACGTTGTGTTTGGGGGGGGGGGAAAAATTATGTGACTCCTCCCGAGCAAAAACATTTTACTTCATTGGGTTCAGTGGAAACAAATGTTTGCACATGAAAAAAGGGCAAAAGAATAGGTGCAAACAAAGGGAATCAGGCCATTGACTGTATATTCATCCCGATACAGGATTACTTTGATATTAGCTTCCGGTAACACAAAATCATACTTATTGTTTCGGATGGAGTACAGCGAGGGGAATTTATCAACACTGGAGCAGACAAAATCTGGAGCAGGTATGCATGGCAACCAATCAGCTTCTCTCTTGTATTTTCAAATCTTAAATGAACAAACTGGAGAAAGAAGCTGATTGTTTACCCTGCACAGCTGCACCAGATTTTGTCTGCTCCAGTTTTCATAAATTTCCCCCATAGTATTTTGTCTTCAGAACAAAAGATTTTGGTTGCCTGCTGTGAAAAACTAGTCTTCTCACTTGGAATTAGCATTTTCCACAAGTTTAAACTGCATTTTTCTCTATAAACAATCATACATGACCCCCAGGAGTAAAAGATCCCATATAGTGTCTCATCAAAAGAATAAACAGTATGGTTTCGCTCTACAGCCATATCTGCCTTTCAGTATCTGTAATGGAAAATACTAAAATTTTATTACGCAAAGGAAATGCAAATTGGATTGGGACATAACTGGCCTGAAAACTGAATGAAAACTTCTGTTTTTCATTAGAAACGCATTGCGGGCTCTGAAAGCACGGAGGTATACCCAACACTTTACTTGCTCTTCTATTAAACAGTGTATAACTTAGAAAGAGATCTGAGTGGGTGGTGACACAACCTGCCTTAAGGCTTTCATACTTTCAAGAAGTCTGACTCGAGATATCTGATTAATTTAATTGTCTAACACAGTTTTTTTGGCCATGCTCATGGAAATTTGCACTGGGAAACAATGTTTAAATATTCAAATGTTGAGCAATATAAAAACAAAAAAATGTATTTAGTTATGCAGATCAGACTCACATCTGGATTCCATTAAATTACTTCTGAAACAAAGGACATGTAGGAAGATTGACATGGCTCAGAAGACAACAATACTCATACATGGACCTTCTTGGAAGGGTAGAAGCAACACAAAGCTCAACCTATAGATATTTTAGCAGAACATTTAGCAGACAGTCACTATTACTTTCATTTTCAGCTAAACGAGAACAGATTTAAACTTTCCTGAGAATAGAAAAATAGTATTATTGAACATTATGACATTAACCAGGGGTGTGGAATTCCTATCGCCCGACGCCTGGGACATGCAGTTTCGGGCGACGGGCGAGTAGTTTTTTTATACACTTAGCCCCGCTCCAGACAAGCAGAGCTAAGTCAGTGTGGAGCCGCAGCTCGTTTTCAAGTGATCTGATCATTTATCAGATCACTTGAATGAAACGAGAAGCGATTCTGTACACACCGCCCGCCCGTTTTTTTCGGCATCCCCCGCTCCTCTGGCGGACCCGAGACCACGGAACATGAGCTCACCATAGAGCCCGCAGAGCAGATGAAAAAAGTCAGTTTTTCGTCTGCTCTGTGTGATCACTGAGACCGTGGTGCTGTGATCACAGCGCCACCTGTCTCAGCCGTCAGGAACTACACAGAACCTCAGTTCTGTGTTGGGGGGCAGGTTACATAAAGAGAACCTGTCACCTCCAAACTATCACTTAGAGGATTTTAAATCCCCATGTGATAGGAATAAAATTAGGTGGGGGTAAAAAATAAAATAAAGTTGTAAAAAATAATGAATTATATATTAAGAAAAGTGACAATGTAAAAAAATAAAATAAAAAAAATGAAAACCAACACCGATGCCCCCGCCATCTGCATGCAGATAAATGCACCCATAGGACATTGTGTGTGTGTGCACTGAGTGCTGCCACCATTTCACTGTGCCATATTGTGGTAGCGAGGCAGCAGAACTCTCTCACACGCACAATGTGCATTAAAGGGCAAGTTCACTTTCAGTGTTGTTTTTTTTTTTTTGGGGGGGGGGGGGGGGGCAACAACATCAAACACATTAGATATGTGTAATGGTGTGTATCCCCTTACCTGCAGTACAAGGAGCTCCATCAATGGTGGAGAGCAGAGGGGGACAGCCAGCAGCACATGTTTTTATACTGGCTGCATAATTTGATGGCGCTAAATAAACTGTAATAAAAAATAAATATATGTTTGGTGTTGTATTCCACACATTGATGCACGTGGGGAGCAAAGGCTGGCCCATGTGGTCCAATCCAATAGAAGAGCTAATGTTGCAAAAGTGGCTCAAGAATGGTTTGAGGAGCACGACAAGGAGTTTGAGGTATTGACTTGGCCTTCAATCCAAAGGAGCATCTGTGAGATGTGCTGGAAAAAAAAAATTCCAATCCATGGAGACCCCCACCTCGCTACTTACAGGATTTAAAGGATCTGCTACTGATGGCTTGGTGCTGGATAGCACAGCATACCTTCAGAGGTCTAGTGGAGTCCAGTCTTGAAGGGTCAGGGCTGTCCTGGTGGCAAAAGGAGGGACCTACTCAATATAAGGTGGGTGGTCATGGCTGATCGGTGTATGTAAAATACCCTCGATATTTACAACTATGTAGGGCAAGGATTTATATCCAGTCTGGCAGGACCTCACATTATACAGTATTTGGTAATC